AAGTGCAGAAATAGGTTTAAGAGTGTTTGGTTAAAATGAAAATTTTGACAATAATTAAATTTCAGCTTCCCCAAGATTTAGGTAGTAATTGCAGGTAGTGTGGGTACATTATGCAATCTCATTAACTTTCACTGAAGAGGCTCAGTTTATGTCATCCAGTTTGGCTGAAATTTCTCCTTGCTTGATTCTTGTCAATACCTATTGAATAAGTTGGTGCATTTCAATAACCACCACTCAACATAGATCCTGAAAATGCTCATTTAAGAGGTCCACAGGAAGCATGGAAGGGTGTTCAAAGTGCAAAATTAAAACCACACTATTGGAAGAGCATTGCAATGATCCTGCCTTGCCTTTCATGAGAATGAATTTTTCAGTGTTTGCCATGTAAAAACAACAAGTAGCCAGATAGTGATCAGACTGATCGTAAAACCAATGAAAGCAAATGAAACTCCAGTATTTGAGTACAAAGTATTTAAGTACAAAGGCAAAGCAACTAGTTAGCATTTGATTTTTAAAAAAAAAAATATTAGTAAAGTTATTTTCTTTGTATATGCTGTTCTCTGTTATTAGTTTACTGTGTAAATGATAACAAGAAATTCCAAAGTATATCCTATTTTTTTTCAATCACCTTTTCCTAGTAAACTTCTGATTAAAAAAATAAATCAAAGGAAAGGCTTACTCAGCTATACAGTCTTTACAATTTTGCTGCTGTAATTTAATTAATAGATAGGACTATTTCAGTTTTGTAACACTGTCTAGCTCTGCTGTTGAGGGGGGGACACTGAGCTGAATCTACTTCTAAAGACTTAGTTGGGTTGCTAAGTATTACAAGAGTAGATAGCATCTTCCCTTGCTGCCAGTAATAAAACTATTTTTTAGGTCAAAAAAAAAAGTGTGAAAAGATCTTAATAAGGGAGTGTGGACCATAGATGAATCCTTAATCCAGATTGTGACCTTAGGTGGAACTGTGGATCAGAGAGGTTTAGAAAGCTGACTGTGTTTAATGCTGGCCAGCTGAACTAGACATGTTTATGTCTCTGTTTAAAAGGATAATGGTGCTTATAAGAATTATCAGCATTGTGGCACTCTCCTTCAGGATGTTCTTTGAAAGTTATTTAGAGCATAGAAGTAATGCAGGGAAAAGTAATATAGTGCAAGTATAAAATGAAGAATATCCCACTTTCTAACTTTGCACCTATCATTTTCTACTCTGGCTCCCTTGGTTAAAGGAGAATTCATTCTTATATTATTGAATTTTTATCACAGATGATTCAGTTAAGATTTCCTGATTTTCACTGGACAGAGTTTTTCATTTTTTATCTTACATACACATGTGATTTGATTTCATTGTACCATTGGATTTTGGGGTTTGTACTGCTTTAAGCAGAACTTTTGCAGATCCTGATTCTGTGCTTATATATCCAACAGTAAGTGAGGAATAATTATGCCTGCGATCAAAGACAGTGTGAGAAAATAATTAGTAGAATTATTTAGTTTTGGTGATACTTTAAGGCCCTAAGAGACAGTGACAGTATTTTTTGTTAATGGCTGATGTACATTTTTTCTGATAAAGGTTGTCAAATTTCAAGCAAAAACAAGTCAAAAGCAATTCTTCTGGTTTTATTCTAATTAGGTAAATTAGTTAAATATCTTAAGACAATCTAGACAGGTAGAACATACAGTTCAAAGAGAGAAACAGTTACTTCTGGCGGTTTAATGAGGAAGGAAAGGAATAAAAGGGGAAGGGAGAGATTGCAGTGTACCGTGAAGCACTCATCTCTGCTGAGCTCAGGATCTTTGACGAGTACTAGATTAATGAATTCCCAGGCTTATCTTGTGTATGTGTTCTGTGGCTGCACTTAAGATGAGTAGTGAAAAGTGCTGGTATAGGGCAAGTGGTGAGAATGCCATCTGAACTGGGAGAGGATTGGGGACTGCCACTGTTGGTGGCACTGCAGCCTTATAGTGATTTACATGGCTTTGGCAACTTCAGCGTGAGATATAACTACGTTGCCGCCTTGGTGTGTGACTTTCTACATGAGAGAAAGAAAAGTTGCTTAGACTATAGAAGTTTATCTGTTAATCTGCTAATGTTACCTAAAAATAATCCCATTCTCACCAGTTTTGGTGCCAGCTCTTATTTATTATAAATAAATACTTCTTACTGAGGTATCTATTCTTTATCAGGACATACTGAAGAAAGTACTGCCCTGGAACAATAAAAGAACAGCTGTTCTAGAACAGGTCTGTGCATGAAGAGATGGGGAGGCTGTTTGCAGGTATCCCAATAACTACAAGTATGGGTTGTACCTCTGCATGTGGCTCAGGGCGGTGGTGACTTTAGGGTTGCAGCCTTTGTGTTATTTCAACTGTACCATATAAAAATTGTTGGAGAATTTTAGTAAAATTTGAATACCATTGTTTTTTGTCTTGACACAGCAGTGCATAATAGTTTTCTATTTTTTCTCACCTGTTTTTTGTTGTTGTTTTTTTTTTAAACTGAGAGGACATGCACGAAAAAAAGCATCTTCTGATTGTGAGTTTACATAGTTCAGGTATATTATATTTCACTGGGAAATAAAATAATTTGACACATCACAGTAGTATAATTGGAAGTAGCTATGATCTAACACAAGTTTATACCCTCAGATGAAGACTAACTTGGAGTAACAGATAAACTGAGAAGAAACAAAAGTATTGTATCCATGCAAATGACATTGATTAGTAAAAAATGAACGTACCAAACCAGAAATTAAACCAGAATCAAAATGCTTGTTAAAATGTGCATTTTAAAAGGCATCAACTTAAATAAAAAATGCTTTTTAGTATTTTCTTTTTCTTAGACAAGGGCTTACAAATTCAAAAGGAAAGCAGGAAACATGCTATACTAGGTCCCCAAGTTATCTGAAATGCCATGTTAGGAATTCATGAAGCTCTTGAAAGTATTTGTAAAAGGCTACAGTGGGCCCAGTGAATGTTTTTATGCATTGCATGTTCAGTAACAGCTACTAGGTACTGTAGTCACAGGTAAGGGTAAGGATCAGATGCCTAACTCAGTACACAATAACTTCTAAGGAGCACCTTGGAAACAGAAAAGCTGTAATTAGAGAAACTGTCTTAGCATAAAAGATTCACCAGGATGACCTACTTAGAAGCATCATCATGTACATAAAATCAGGCTACAGTTTTCAGTCATAAATATTACATCCTGGCTTTTCTAAGGCTGCATTTCCCCTCCAGTAAATGCTTCAGTTTGCACTGAGTAGTTGCATAGTACCATCACATCTGATTTCTTTGAGAAACATTCAGTGTATTAAATTATTCTAGAGGAAGGACTAAAAGATGTTTTTCACTATAGGTGAATTTCTCTAGTCATTATAAAAATGTCTAGGGAAATATCTTTTAGCTTCTTAAGTTATATTACCTGCGTGTCTGTGTGATTAATGGGGTTGGTTTTCTTTTATCAGAAGTACCTCATGTACTCAGTTTATGTAATGCAGTCTGTAACTCTTCATATCACTCAAAATAGTTTCAGTTTTAAAACTGATGTCTGGAATATACTTCTGAGAACAGTGTTTCCAACTGAATGAGTAAAGTACAGCTTCTCAAAGCACTACCCTGGACTTCTCTCACGGAGCTCTCAGTGCCATTCACACTACTTTAGCAAGGGGAATAGGCTTTGCTTCAGAAAATTCTAGCCATTTATTCTTTCTCCTGCATTATACCTTGCTGCCTCCTTAGTTGTACTACTGCAGCTTTTTCTGAGGTTATGCTGGAAAATAATAATGAAAACGATCATGGTTTAAAATAACCTTTCCCCCAAGCTGGAAGCAGGCAGTATTTCCTTGAAAGCACTGCTACAGAAATTTTAGCCTGCTTTCACCCAGAGGTGAGGCTTCTGCAGTCTGGTTGCACTGACCACCACATGAGAAATGGTGCAGTTTTATAATTGATTTCAGCTGTTTTAACTATGAACTGTTGCCAAAGAAGGATCCTGCATTTTCTCCCTCCCTCTGTTTGCGCACTGATGCCATTTGTTTCTGCTACCCCTAGTGATCGTACAGATGTGTGATGAGCAGATTGCCTTGCTGATACATCTGAAAACTGCCCAGAAAAGAAGAGAATGGTTAGCCTTTGGTCAAATAAGCAAGTTGCTCTTGACTCATTGTGTCTGTATTTGTGATCCTGGAGCTGAGTAAAGGAAGAGATGGAAAGGTACAGCAGGGGAACAGGGAGAATTACTGGGACACATTGACGTGGTGCTTTCACACAGCTAGACTGGTGTGAGCTTGTGCCTGACTAACACACGCTGGGGAGAATTAGCTGATGGTATACAGTTGCTCCAGGCTGCCTCTACTGTCACTATGGACAAGGAAGTGAGGGATGTGTCTCTCCACAATTTAGCTACTGGGAATCTCCAAAGTGCCACCACTGCCATCCACCCAGTTACCTGCAGTTATTTTATTTTTAGGATGGGACTATATGTTGCTAAGACTCTGTGCAAATGCACTGGCCAGGTTCAGTCAGCTTTGAGAGACTGGTACAGATCTCAGGAATATTAACTCCCTACAAGATCTGTGTAAGTGGACAAAGGACAGATATTTCATGGTAACTCATGGAGGGAAAAAGCTAATATTTGTAGGCTTCTATTACACAGAATGGAGTTCAAATGGGGAACGACAATACAGACAGGGTCAATATGATGTATGGTGCATGAAATTGCTTGTTTTCTGTCAGAATACAACCTGGTATCCATTGAAAGACTAGAGTGTAATAAATGTCATTCTGAAAAATGGTAGAGATGTTAGATTTCTCTTCAGAGTATTTTCCTTGTAACTGAGGATATTTGCATCTCTGAAGAAAATCCAGGTTTATATATTTGAAGCCCTGAACTGTGGTGTTCAGTGCTTAAATGAAGACTTGGTATGGTACTGTATCAGTGTGAAGATGCAACTAAGAAGGAGTGGAGTATAAACTTTTCTCTCTCATATTTTGCAGGTTGAAAATTTCACATATACTCGGGCTTTTTCTACTGATGTCCAATACACAATACATACTCTAAACAGTATTCAGCAGATCCCTCTGCAACATAACGGCAGTCCTTCTTTAATACAAACAAGATGGAGGAAACATACAAAGATAGGACTTCATTAGTGAAAGGGGCAAAAGATATTGCCAAAGAGGTGAAGAGACAAGCAGTGAAAAAAGTGAATAAAGCTGTTGACAAAGCTCAGGATGGCTACACACAGAGGTCCTATAACCGATTCCAGGATGAGGAAGATGATGATGATGATTACTATGTCCAAGGAGGAAATTATGGTGTAGAAGTTAATGATGATGAAGGATCAAGTGAAGCAACTGAAGGGCATGATGAAGATGATGAAATTTATGAAGGGGAGTATCAGGGAATCCCCAACATGGGGCAGGGCAAGGATGGTATGTCGGCCTTAGGTCAGCCTATGCATGATGAATATAAGGATCGTCATGAACTGGAAACAGAGAGGAAAGCTGATGAAGAAGAGCTAGCACAGCAGTATGAACTGATAATACAAGAATGTGGACATGGTCGTTTCCAGTGGGCCCTCTTCTTTGTGTTGGGAATGGCGCTAATGGCTGATGGGGTTGAAGTTTTTGTAGTTGGATTTGTGTTACCCAGTGCTGAAACAGATATGTGTATACCGAATTCTGGATCAGGATGGCTTGGTGAGTAAAGTTTTGCTCTGTCTTTGTGCTATTACAAGTGTTGCTTACAGTACAGCTAAATATGTGTTCATCAACACCAATGCTTATATAAAAATATGTTTGTATTGAATATAAATAAGATTCACAAAGTGCTTTAACAGCTAATATGGATTTAATGAAGATTATAAATTCATTTTTTAGATAATTGTTGTATTTTTCAATCAGTCAGTATAAATAAATCAGTAAAGCGGAAGACTGTAAAGTAAAATTTAAGAGGAGAAGGATACATTTTCTTCTCTATACAAGAGTAGACATTCAGATAAACTAATTTAAAAAAAAAAAAAAAACAACAAAACAAGCAATAAACAAAAAACCACCACACAAAATCAACCAAACCACAGTTAGAGTGCTGGAAGTCTCCTGGATTTGTACAGGTGTAATAAAGAGCAGATTATACAACTATCCAGTAACATTGTTATACTGTACGGGAGTCTTCCCAATGGTGAGGTGGAATCCAATCTGGGAAGTGCAGGAAATCCAGGGAAAATGTTGTCTAGACTTTTCCCTCTTTTTGTCTTTTATTCCTTTTATCCCAGTGACTGTTCCCTAGCCATCCAAAAAGTATAATGTTTATTTTGAGTTGGGTGTGGGGACAGAAGTTAGGGGGACAAATGACTGAAGATGAGCCTGGGTTATGCTTTTTGTGTCCATGGAGTTGATGGGGATGGTCTGTGTCTCATCCTGCTGCCTCTTCTCTCCTGCAGTGCAACAAATAGGCAGGCTGAGCCAGCCTTGTGTGACTTGGCGAGAGCAATAGTGCTGCTGGCATGTCCATGTTTGCCCTTGCTGCGCATGCCCAGGCGCAGCAGATGAAGGAAGGCATGAGGCAGGGCTGTGGAGAAAAGAGTGTGAACATGGTTCCTCAAGGAAGAGGGGAGGTAGAAGCATGGGGGCTTGGGATGTTGCAGCAAATTGAATGTATGTGTGTAGATAAGCAGCTTTGGCCTGAAGGACCCAGACTATTACAGAAAAGGATGGCTTCTTATAAAATATTTAGGAACCTTGGTCTTCTAGCAGATGTACTGTTCTTTCCCTGCGTCTTTACAGCACATATTCTGTTGCAACAGTCTCATTTTAACCTAGCTCCATTTCCTGTTTTTATTCCTTTGCTCATTATCAGTTAGAAGGACCCTAAGATACCAACTGCTTCAAAATTATATTTAGAATTTTAAATAGCACTAATTGTGCTATTTAAATAACACAGAAGCTTTCTCGGTAGACCATTAAGCCCACGAGAGATTGGATTCCTGACATACTGATACTAGCAGTTTGTCTCTGTATTGACTCTACTGGCAGTTTCAGTAAAGCGGACCATAGTCACTCTCATCTATATCTCTAAGCCTCCCTCTGTGTCAGAGGATCATGAGTGGAAATGGGAGCTGAGTTCTCAGATGGCTGGGTCCTTTGAAGCATTCCTTGCTGTTTGACCATTTGTTGTTAGAAATTAACTACTCTGCCTATTTGTACAATGCAGTGATTAAATTTCTAATAAAAGAAATTAAATTATCTAAGTTTTTATGGTTAAGGAGGTTGCATGCAAATAATCTGTTTGGTACTGCTTGTTTACACAAATTTACAAATATCTTATTTGTCATGCTTGGACTGTTGAGTTTTCAGACCTACTTCTTACAGAAAGAAGGTTCATAAACTTGTCTATAGCTATTTTGGAGCTCTGTAAGTAATTCAAAGAGTAGAGAGAAAGAAGAGAAACATCCCAAAAAGGTATCTCTAGATAAATGTTACTGTGTCAGTGCAGATAACACAGAATACATTTTATAAAAGCACTGTATGCCCAGCTTGCTTTTAATGTGATTTTGTTATTCAGTATTTGGCAGATGAGGACATCTTTAAATTACTAATCAATTTTTAGCAGTCCTCTCAATTGCTGGAACAAAAATATTGGCTCTTAACCCCAGTTTTTATTTACTGATAACCCTGTTTGTTTTACCACATGCACTCTCCCAACAAACTGAATGGTCAAAGTTGTCTTTGCTCTCCAGGATGATATCAATATAAGGGTAGCCGCCAAATCTCTCTGCAATAAATTCAAATGGGGTTAAGGAAAAGAAGAAAGTTATGCAACATTAAGAGGTAGCTTCATGACGCTTACATGTTCAGTAGCTAACTGATCTGCATATGCAGTTTCTTCCATTTACACGAACTGGGAAAATGATCTTTTTATAATTAAGACATTCTGAACACTTCATTAATCCTGGCTTCTCTGATAGTCAAGCTATGAGTGTGGAGGGCATGGCCATAATGCTCTTTGTTACACCTGCTATATAGAATTGAAATTTTGGGGCAAATATACCATATTTTCTAAAAATAGCATTTCATTTAAACAGTTTCTGTAAGCATTATGGAGGTGTCTGGAATTGGGACTGGGGACTATTGTCCCCACAGATGTAGGTGGCCATAGGGATACACAGCCACCTGTTAAGGTCTGACCCATGTCAAGAAGAGAGTTGAGGATTTTGCTGTTACTGGACTTCTTATGATGCTCTGTTAATGTTTAACTAAAATTTGGTATAGAAGCTGTAAAATTCCTCACAGATATATATGTGGTGTGTATATAAATGGCACTCACTGACAAAGTTAAGGAAACAACTCTACAAGGCTTAGGTATGCAAGCAGTTTATTCTCATGCCTAAAATATAGATATAATGGTTATCCCTGTATCTTCCTTTTGTAATATCACTAATTTCACAAAAATTATATTACTTGCCCATTGTTATTAAAAATATAGTGTAGGCTGCAATTCATCAGTATTCTGATGTACATATTGATTATAACCAGTGTAGATATACAGCCTTTGCAGACAGCATAACCTTAATTCAATTCACACAAAATATTTATCATGGCAATGACTGCTTAGTGAAAGCATTTTTATATGATCATAACTAGGCCCTTTAGAGCTATGCATTTCAATTATTTTGCTGTTTTGATTTCATATCATAATTACATCCTAACAGGGGTCTTCCAGACAGGCACACTATTTCTTTTTTTCATTATTATAATTCCATAATCCAGAAGGCTTTAATATTATTAAAATACTAAAGTCATGGGATCAGTGCTAGGAGTTACAAGGCAGAATTGGTACACATATACAGTATTTATTTTCCAGGCAATTTTCTAGACTGTTAAGAAACACACTAAGAACATCTTAATTTGTCATTGAAAAAACACTCATTGTCTCAGTTGTAAAACGATTTTTCTGAAATGCCACATTAGTGTAAAATAATGTCTTGATGACAGAGTTTTCTCTGATATTATCAGAATTTAATAATCATATTTTGTATAATATTTGTAGGAAGGGTATCAGAGATGTTAACTAGGTCTTCTGGGCTGAACTAGTTTTCAGTCTGGGACAACAGGCATATGCCTACCACTTCTGCAATGATTATAAATCTGCATATTAGCTGGTTTAATGCAATGATTCCTATGTCTACTCTGTTTTAAAACCTAAATATATCTGAATATAACCCAGCATAATTCTAATCCGGATAGTCTTTTCTCTTACATTGAAGGAAGTGCTCCCCAGAGATTCAGCAGTTGATGCAAAGTGCTTATAAACTCTGCTAAGAAAACCAGATGATTAGTGAAATTTTTCCCACCATAGTTTAAAAAGTACTGGATTGTCAGATCTTTGCTACTTAATTGTATTCTGATTTTGCACTGATCTTTTGCAACAACTTTATATTCAACAAATACCTTCCATGAAATTTGTCAATGGCAAATACTGGTCCTTTACCTGGGACAGAACTCAAAGAGTTGCAGTCAATAGCTCAATGTCCAAGCGGAGAGCAAGTGACATGAGGCATTCCTCAGGGGTTGGTATTGGGACTGGCACTGTTTAACACCTTTGTTGGAGACATGGACAGTGGGATCGAGTGCACCCTCAGCAAATTTGAAGACCACATCAAACTATGTGGTGCAGTCAATGTGCTGGAGGAAGGGTATACAGAGGGATCTGGACAACCTTGAGAGGTGGGCCTGTGTGAACCTCATGAAGTTTAACAAGGCCAAGTTCAAGGTCCTAGACATGGGTCAGGATAATTCCGTGCACACATACAGGCTGGGCAAAGAGTGGATTGAGAGCAGCCCTGAGGAGAAGGACTTGGGATTAGTCGTGGATGCAAAAATAACTATGAGCTGGTAATGTGTACTCACGCCCAGAAAGTCAACTGTAGCCTGGGCTGCATCAAAAGAAGCATGACCAGCAGGTTGAGGGAGGTGATGCTGCCCCTCTAGTGTGTTCTCATGAGACACCACCTGGAGTACTGTGTCCAGCTCTGGGGTCCCCAGCATAAGAAGGACACAGACCTGCTCAATTGGGTCAGGGGGCTGGAGCACCTCCTCTATGAGGACAGGCTGACAGTTGGGGTTGTTCAGCCTAGAGAAAAGAAGGCTCTAGGGATACCTTATAGCAACCTTCCAGTACTCCAAGGGGGCCTACAGGAAGGATGGAGAGGGACTCTTTGTCAGGGACTGTAGTGATAGAATGAGGGGTAATGGTTTTAAACTGAAATAGGGTAGATTTAGATTAGGTATAAGGAGGACATTTTTTACTGTGAGGATGGTGAAACACTAGAAGAGACTGCCCAGAGAAATAGTAGATGCCCCACCCTGGAATTGTTCAAGACCAGGTTGGACGGGGCTTTGAGTGACCTGATCTAGTGGAAAGTATCCCTGCCCATGGCAGGGAGGTTGGAACTAGATGATCTTTAGGTCCATTCCAACCCAAAACATACTATGATTCTCTGAAATGACTACTGTAGAATAAGCCCTGACCTGCTAGGTAGCAAACAGCTCCGCAGAAGAGGATCTAGGGCTTCTAGTAAGAAATTAAATGAACCTAAGTCAGCAATGCCTTTCAGTAATGAAGCCAAACCACATTCTGGGCTGCACTGGCACAAGTGGCCAGTAAGTAAAGGGAAGTGATTATTTTCCATTCTCAACAC